TATATATATATATGATGCTCAACAATACTAGATATATTTATAATTATTTTAAAATATATCGTCTTTTTTATATATTCTACCTATATATTATTTTTTCATTAGATAGTTTTCAACGAACTAGTGTTTAAAAATTTATCTGTTGGCACTTCGTGTCCGCCATTACATAATTTCCAATTGCACCTTGTACATTGTAAGTGTAGTAGATAATGAGTCACAAAGTACACGTGCCGATAAGTAATTACTGTCATCGCTATTTTCTGACAAATTTATGCATAAAAAAGTTTTCACTTAGTTATCTTTCCCATATAGGTTACAATGTGACTATTACACTAGCTTATGTTCAAAAAGAAAGTGGTAAAACTCATTTGATGGATACAATGAATGTTCAAGAAGAAAATATGAGTATTATAAATGAAGCAATAAACGACATATCTGGTGTAATTTCATTGAAAATTAGTACTTGAAAGTTACAGTTTTTCTTATGAAAATTTTAAAAAATAGATGTATGATTACGCAATGAGCATTGTATCTAAATTGTAAAAAATGCATTACTATGCTACAAAATTTACATTCAGCAATATTCCATTTGTTTAGTGTGTTTCTAACAAATAATTTAGCAGCGCATGTCCAGTAATAATGTTACATTTTTAACTTCTTGCTTATTGAATGTTAGCAGTTTATTAGTGAACAAAGATCTAATTATTGCGATTTCCCTTATATTCTTAGAAAGTTTATTCAGGAGTTCCAGGAGTGTTTTGTTGTTTCTCTTTGACTCATATCTTAATTAAAATAATGCTTTACTAACTGGAACGAATGGTTAAAGATTAATTGAAAGTTGTTTTGTTGCCTTTCCAGCAATAAAGACTTTCAATTTTCAAGATATGCATATGTACAGAAATTCGGTTTGAGACAATCTTAGTTTTCCTAGCTATTGGTTGGCAGATAAAGCATGCATAAATTTCTTTTATACAAAAGATATACTTGCTTATACTTGTTTTTAATGTGATGTGACTGTTTGATAGAATTGTGACGTTCAATTTCATTCTCAACACAATTTATGCAAAGATGTACTAGTTCTTTTTTGTAAGTTATTGGATTCATTCTTGCAGCATCTGTGAGTTATTCAACCCTCCACATAGAAGATCTAGACATTATTAGAGTTATTAAAGTTACTTATTCTTCAACCATTCACATAGAAGATCTAGACATTATCCAAGCAGTTAGGTTATTTTTATTTTCTCACTTTCCTAGAGAGTTTATAGTTATTTTGTATATTTAAAATATTGTATGTTGAACTTTATGTTTGATTGTCATTTCATCATTAGATAAAGTAGGTGATAGTCTGCTATAGTTCCATAAGGTGCTACAAACACTTTATCACAAACACTTCATCCTTATCCATTTTATAGAGTAAAGAATTTTTTGTTTGGTTCTACAATTCTTTTTTAGCATTGATCAGTTTTTGTTTGTTGTTCTTTCCCATGGTTATTTTTCTGTTTTCTAAAAGCACATTTATCCAGTTTGTAACCATATTATTGATATTAAATTCTTTATATCTTTAATCTTATAATCTTTAATATCAATAATATGTGCATCATTTAAAATAATATGTGCATTAATTAAAACTGGTGTTGAAGTGGTATCAAAAGCTTTCTGAACATTGGTGGAACATTCAAATATGTAATCTTTGTTTTTGATTTGTCCTTTTATTGAGATTAGTGAGATTATATACTTCAGTGATCTAAAAGCATGTTGGTTAGTGCAGAATCTTTTATATATCTATCAATGGTGCTTCTATGGTGTATTAATGGTCCATATGACTTTGATGATACTATACCAGCCGGCTTAAGGATGACCATGTTTGTTTCGTTCCAGGTTTCTGGTTGAATTTTCTGATTTTGTGGTAGTAGTTGAATTTT